CGAGATCAAGCTGCTTATCGAAATCAAAAGGGTGACTTGAGTCAAAACGTACTTGCTGGATGCCACTTCAACATGTCATTTAACTTTATAATGGCAGGCTTTGAAGGAGGCAGTAGTGACGCTTGAGTACTTGAAGTGGCCAGGCAGGATGGCTCTTTTGTAGTACCAGCTGGTGAGTCTTGGATTAATACATCTCCATTTGTATCTTTGCTGACTTTTTGAGTACAGGGCGGTATTATTTAGTGGATGCCGGCTACGCTAACAAGCCCGGCTTTCTCGCACCTTTCAGAGGTGTTAGATACCATATCAAAGAGTGGGCGGAAGGAAATAGAGGCCCTGTGAATCCTCAAGAACTGTTCAACAAGCGCCATTCTGGGCTTCGAGGATGTATTGAGCGCACGTTTGGAGTTACGAAAATGCGTTTTCCGTCGACTCGTTTCATGAGGAAGTATCCCATCAAACGACAGGCGGATCTAGTTGTGGCATTATGTGTACTTCAAAATATTATCTTACAGGGAGGTGAAGATCATTTTTTTGACGAGTTTGATCAGGAACAAGAGGCCAGAGACCAAAACCTTGCCGATCGAGAATTTGAGCAGTTTGAAGTTGCTACTGTAGCAGACAGGGAAAATGTGAATCGTGATAGGATGGTTTTGGCTGAGCGTATGTGGGAAGATTATATAGCTCAAGGCCGACATTGATGGATAAAATTATTTTATTACCACATCAATGTTCATACAAAAGTAATTACATATTATATTTAAAAGATATTTGTCTTGTAGACTACTTGTGCTACAGATATTGAGTATTTCGTTGTGAACAGAAACTTAGGTACGGTTTTTTTTTTTGAGATCATCTCGATAAAGTATCACATTTCCATGTAAGCAAAGACGGGGACCAAATCCAAAACCGAGATTTTTCATGGCGTCTACGCTGAGTTCTGGCGAAAAGAACATTTCAAAGTTGTTAATGTCTAAAGACTTGAGTAAACTTCGAGTATGTTCATCATGCTTATTGATTGAACAAAAGTCGAGGTATTCCTCGAATTCAGGAAATGGTCTGGGGGCTGGGGTGCCGCTTTGTAAACGGAATGTTGAACGGGTAAAGTTGGTTGAGGCAGTTCTATCTATTGAAAATAAGCATCAGCTTGGTATGTAGCATTTGAATAAAGAGAAAAGCAAAACCTACTAGCAGGGCTATCATCGGCTTGATTCTCGACATGGCCATTGCTAGAACCTATATCAATTACACCTTGAGGATTGGGTGCTGCTAAATTAGAAACAAAAGGTCAGGTTTGATGAAAAGTTGTTGAAAGAGAAATAAAAACTCACCGTGGACGAATTCGATTTCAGGATCGAGTGGAGGTTGAGGTTGAACTCAACAACGGAACTCACGAGAGCCCGTTTCAATAGAAGGATCCACATGGACCAAGTCCGTATCGAGATACTGGCGCTGACCACCAAAGCGTATCTCTTCCCAATGGTGACCAGGTCTGAAACAGATAATGAAACGTAATCAAAATCAATTAATGATCTGAATCGAAGAATAGAAAACAATAACTTACTTGTGAGTATAGAAGGGGCTGCCATCCCTGCCATGACCAGGGCTAAGCCCTTCAACGGGAGCACGTCTTGCTTGTCTTTCAGCACTAAGACAAATCAAGTTGATGAGAAGAAAGAAATTTGAAAGAAAGTAAGAGTTTGAAGGGAACGAAATGTAGAACATACGCCTCTTGTAGCGCAGTAGCTCCCTCATCCCGTTGGGCTTGGCGTTTCGAGATTCCTTTTGGCATGTTGGTGAAGAAGTGGAGGTGGATCGAGGTTGTGGTCAAGGGTTTGGTGATGAAGGTAAACAAGAAATGGGAGTTGACAAGATCCAAATATCGTATCTTGATTGTAGGATATGCTTGTATTCGAATCACAGCTGTATCAAAAAAAGAAACTTAATAAGATGAAAATGCTGCGTTGCTCGATTGTGTTGTTGATAGGCAAATGTTCTCAACTTGTTCAAGATGAACATGTTTTGTTTTTTTAAATAAAATCATATATTCATCGCAGGCAATATATTTCAACTTGTAAATACAAAAACCATAGAAAAATTGAAAATAGATAGTTCGTGTGTGAGATTTTGATGATAGTTGTTACAAAAGCACAAGGAGATCCTATAAAGATCTTCAAATCCGATTTAATTGGGTGGAGGATGAATTTGACCAATACCTCGATCGTTTCTATCACAGTTTCAGACGTACCCGTTTTATTTAAAGTAGGAGCACAAGGATGAGAAGAAAAAGATAGGAGATGATAGAAAAGAGATCATGATTAATAGATTCATAGATTAGATGAAAAATATTAGTGAGATGATGACTTACATGAAGGTTTAATTAATGTTTTCGTTTAATTTTTGCTTGAACCATACCCAGCGTTCCTCTTCAGCAAGGTTGATGAAGAAGGAAGCTGAGTCTTTGTCTCTTAGAAGATCAGCAGCTTTCATCCGGATTTTGATGTTAGGAAACTCAGAATGTTTCTTTAATGAGAATAGCTCCATCTCTGGCTTGTGATTTGGGAATCTTTTGCTGGCCAAGGCTGCAGCTTGAAGACGAGATTGAACTCGATCTTCAACCGCTTCACGGTGAGCGTCCAGACAAGCTTGATTTCGGTCATTCTTCTCCTCCGCATACTTTTTTTCAGCTTTGAGTCTTTTTTCTTGATTGGAACTCATGATAATAATTGCTGAAGCTAAGTTGGTAGGCTGTTTAGAGTTGATTTTGACAATCTTCTTTTCTTGAATGTCCAGAGCTTTGAGTTTAGGCCCGCCGGAAGTGAAAGGGTTCTTGTGCTTGCTCGAATCATCGACTTGAGTGCAGGTAGATTGTTGAGTTGGTTCTATATTAAAATCATCGAGTATATCAACAATTCGAGATCCAGAAGATATGTTCGCCTCGGTGATACTATCGATGTGATCCTCGACCGGTTGAGGAGCAACTACAAAGTAAGAATGAGTTCAAAATTTCGAAAATGATCACAAGTGATGAAATTCCACTTACTTTGTTCTTTGTTGCTTGTATTTTCAGGATCAGGAAGAATCTGAGTATTCGAGGTTGATAAGCTTCGTTGCTGAGACGTATTAGTCCCAGTACGATTTGCTCCAGGTGTTGCGATATGACCAATGAGGTTGTCAAGAGCACTGTAGAGTGGAAATCCCTTTTTCTCGTAAGGGCGGGCATTCTTATGACCCTCAATACAAATGAAATGTACATCAAAGTCAGTACAGTAAAATAAGAAATAACAAGAACTTACTATGTGCCAATTTTTCCAGAAGTCCTCATCCGCGATGATTCACTGCTCTTCTTCGTTCCAACCACCAACACCAGAAGCTTTCCTAATTTCACGAATTGCCTTATAATGGCTGGTGATCTAGAATAGATAAAGATTTCGAAAGGTGAGCTAAACAAACAGTAATCTTCATAAGATATTAGAGCACAATACCCACTACAGTCCAGTGATTCTTCAGTTGATTGATATCGAAACCAGGTGGATATTGTAACTTCAACCGATCTATGGCGGCATTCCAAGCGATGGGTTTGAAGCCATTGTCGGATTGATGGCCGAGATCAGCTTGCTCTTGAAGGCAGTCGATGAAAGCCAGACTACGGCTTGTGGTCCATTGAGCAGTCGATCTTGCTTCTTGATCCTTGTTGGTGACCTTGGCTTGACCCATATATTACGGTAAAGATAGTAGAGGTGATGTGGTAAGATGTGATGTGTGGTGTAATGATTTGATGAAGTGGGTGATTGTGGGTGATTGTGTGTGGTGTTTAAAATTACGAGCTTGACGTGAGTTGAAGATAGGAGGGGGGGTATCAGAATTTGGACTTGTCCGTTTTCAGAAAAAGATGTGATCTGACCGATTTTGGGTCAAATAAGTACTTATCCAAAAAATAAAGACCTACTTGGTCCATTAATATAAGTAGCGAAATAAGTTACTTATCGGTACCATAAGTACTTACGAAAAGGTACGAGAATTCCGTGCCAAACGGACTTTTCAAAATCTGACTTTTGAAAGTCAAATTTCGACTTAAGTACCTTAAAAAAAGTCTTACCAAACGTGCCCTTATTGTGAACTCTGTCACCACATTAAGTTTCACATATGATTGAGCCTAATAGATGCCCGTGGTGTCATGTCGTACGGTTTTTGGCTCGGGGATGAATTTTGACTAAACATGACATGGAAAAATTACATGTTTAACACATGTCATGTTTATATGTCGGTATGAGTCTATACGTACACCGTACAAACCTATGGCAAACAAGATCCACAATTGAAGAAAGTCGCGGACCCGGACACCGCGACTTTGCTCAATCGGGTTTCACACTTGATGATTCCGGGTACACCGCGGATTCAAATTCTGGCTGAGAATTCGCAGAGACAAGTTGAGAATTTCTCGTACAGACACCCCGAGCCCGCAGGGCCCGCCGGGCTCGATGCTTATATCCCGTATCACCTCTCAACCACAAGTCAATCATCACTACGGCACTGCGGACCATGTGACTCTGGACGCGTCCCATCCACCCACATTCATGGGTCTACACCGACCCACTAGTGCAACTGTACGCACCGCGACGCGTGAGCCTGACATCCCTACTACATACTGTTCACGACTACATACTGATCACGTCCCATCTCATCTAACTGATCGAACCACCTTCTCTTTGGACAACCACAACTACTCACACTTCGCATTTCCTTGTCCGTAATCCATGTCTCGCTCCACACTTCCACTTCCTGCCCATGACAAACGCTGACACTGATGAATATCAACTCTTTTCCCGTCTTAATAGGTCTTCGCTGCGAGCGAAACCATGCTCCTCGTGGAACTCGTCACTCGCCTCCAGGAAGAACACCCCAACCTCGCGAACCGTCTTACACTTGCACAACTGGTCCAACTAGTCAACCTTGCCAGCGATGTTTACCAGCGAGGCCACCAAGCCCTCAGATTCACGTCAAGCGACAATCGGATACTCCCATTTCTCCAGCTGGCCTTGAATATTAACCTTCAACCTGGTGATTACGAACCCCTTTGGAATCTTGCCTACACTTCCCTGCCCCTCGCCCACATTGACACAGCTGGCCTCATCCGATTGCATGGACTATCCCCCGGTCTAACAACCAAGGTGCACGAAGTATACTTCATTCCTCCCACCTCAAAGTGCTTGAACTGCAACCAACATTCGGGGCATAACCTTGTGCAACACCCTCGAATCAATGGGTATTTGTATGATCTCGATGGTGTCCACTCTGCCGAGTTTCACACTTGGCTTTGTGAAGGTACCATCTTCCCTTTAAACCTAGGTCTTTGTCCGTGTTTCACTGACGGCGTAACACTTTGAACACTTTCCCAATATAGATTGCAAAACCTACTATCGGCCGTCCTACTATGGCGCCAAGAAAACCCGACACTACTATACGGAACGTCAAGGCGCACATGCTGATTAATATCAGGTGCACTGCCACTTCGCCATGTCGCATCGGCTTGCGAAACACTTTCGGCACTCACAGATGCTCGGCCAGTGAGTTCCAAACTTCGTTTTCCTCTTCTCATACTCAAGTACGATGTTTGTGCTGATACCACCTTTTCAGTACATCCCATTTCAATCTAGTTAATCTGTTCAACCTGACGTACCTAGTGGGTCAGCAAGTGCCGACCCACTCTGCCGCCAAAGGGTTCTCTCCCAAAATTTCGGCCGAATTCATCCGTGATGCCGTCGACCTTTTCAGTCTATTACGACGCTTCTCTCGCCGCGGGGCTACACTTCAACTCAGCGCCGAGGGAATGCAAGAGGATCGCCTGTTGCCTGCTATGGAACGTGAGCTTCATCATGTGGCCAAACACGGAGCCGCTTACCGGAAGCACTTTTGCTCGTTCTGTGTCAAAGTGAGCAAAGTCATGATCGAAGGAAAGGAATACACTAAGGGTAAGGCACCTCTCACCATGCCTGGTAACTTGCGCGCTGTTACTTACAATTGTTTATTTAGCAATTCAGGCGGTGGTGACTGATGGTCTCACCATTGGCCATTGGCGGTGCACAGCCTCATCCTCTCAACTCGAGGAACTGGCTCATCGAGCTGGGGCACCCCCACCTAACGGTCCTTGCCTCAACCCTCTACCAAAGGTCACATCACGTTTCTGCTTGGAGCACGCCAAGGCCTTGGACGGCTGGTGTCAGGCACAACCTTGCACCGCCCTGGCCGCCAAAGATTCGAAGACGTGTTCGAAGCCTGCTCATGTAGAGGCAATGCAAGCTTTTGAAAATCGCAAGAAGAAGTCATTCACCCTCAAGTCAATGCTTAATCGCCCCGGGTCCAATCTACCGTCGGATCCCTCAGTGCACCTAAACCCCGACACACTGGAGATCATCGATTTGGAAAGCCTTCAACAGGCTGACGAGGCTGACCAGGCTCACGAAGCGGCCCGTGATGGCGGCGCGGAAAAACCGAAGCCCACAGCATGTTTGAGTAGGTCCCGCACACATAACGATCAACTGATCGTTGGGACATGCGGCATCATCTTGGCACGGCAGACTTTCTACAACTCCGAGGCCCCGAGTGCCCTCAGAGTGAGTATGTACTTTGGGCTCTATCTGGCTGCGTCATGAATTACTGATGAATATCTTTTCTGAAGGACTACCTTATCGATGCGTTTCCCGGTGCAATGCCAGAGGTCATCTTCTACGACAATGCTTGCAATCTTCTACGCGTCATTCACAACGGGGACGTGGACCCTCAACCTTTTGAAAATACAATCATCCCGGTCGACCCTTTCCACCACCGTGGTCACTCGGAGAAAGATCACTTCTGCCGCATGTACAATGACCCCAAGCTTTTCCCCGATTTACAAGAAGATGGCTCCTGGATATTCAACTCATCCGCTGGTGAGTTGAGTAATATATGGTATGGCGGGTTTGCTTCAATGTGCCGCAATATGCAAGGCACACGATACGAATTCTTTCTTGACAATATGGTGGAGTACCGCAACGAGTGGCTCACTGAAGCGCTGTCATGTCGTGAAAACATCAAGTTTATTGGGGTGGGCAAGGTGTAATCTGGTGGTTTTAAGGTACCCACTCCGGTCTCTTAAACAAACACACACATTCGACTGACTAACACAATTGAATGGATGTTTTGCAGGTGGCAGACAACCCCAAATATATTGAAATGTATCTAGTTTGCGCGTTTCTTTCATTCACATGTTGCAATTAATTGCACCGTCAGGATGTGTTATAACAAGAACGAAATCGCGGAGAGAGGAGCGGTTACGTGCCTGGCGTCAGTCTTGTAAGGCGTTCGATTTAGAGAGGGCTGAACCGACTAATCTTGATACTCGTACTACCTCATTGATCTTTGCCAAACAAAAGGTGGCTTTCAGTATTTCCGGTGATACGTGTTTTTGATGATATCAATCCTTCTCCTTATGACAGCACACATTCCACCTCTTCAAGCTGGAAGTCTCGCCTTTTGTGGGACGCCGCTCGAGAAATCTCTCTAAGTGTACGTGTACATATTACATCTGGCGCAAAAGGATGCCTCAATCAGTTGCTCAGTAGCTTAGCCTAGCGAATGATCCCCTGCCTTCCACTTTCAGCTGAGAAGGAATGTTAGATGATGTTGCAAAGGGTTCCGAAATCATCAATAGTCTTTGCATTGGTGCACAGTGGTTCACAGGGCCCACCATCATCATCTTTTTTTGGTAGTGAGTTCATACAATTTCATGATGATACAGGACCCTGATCACCGTTTGACTTTGCAACGATCATTACGTTATTCCAGAGACAATGAGCCACCAGTGTCGCACACATATATAGTGTAAGTAAAACTTAAACCACCACGAACCCAACTGAATAACCAACACTTTGCTTGTCTATCCTCACACATCTTTCTGTATCACATGGCTGTCAATTCACATCGCCGCAACTACTACAACCTCACCGAAAATGACTTCTACTCCGAATGTCCACACCTAATGAACGAGCTTTCCGACCGTGATACAAGGGCATTCCGAAGTGAGTCCTCGGTGTACAGCCTTGGCCTATCTAACAATCCCTTACTCACACGTGTCGTTTGTCACAGGGGGGGTTCTCCGCACCGGACCAACCGATGTCACACCGGATCCCATTTGGTCCATGCGTACGTTGCTATATGTTTTCCAAAATTTATTCATTTTGAACTGATTAGTCCCGCAAATCCAGACGAATTCTGGTCTACACCCATTCCAAAAATCCCTTTGACCTATGTCCGGCAGCTCCTGGGCCAACACGAGTTACAAAGCCCTCACGTTCCCACCAACTCCTCGTGGGTCTTTAGAATCAACAACCATTGGTTGTCCCAATTATCTTTTCGGGCCCACCCAGCGTATATAGAGATCAATCATGATGAACCGCTCAGGCGTTGGAATGGCGCTTGGACCTTCTCGAGCAAATTGCATCGCCGGGGTCGAATTGATTTAGACCCTTTGCCTGTGGAAGTTCAAGCGTTTTCTTCAAACTCAGAAAAATCTCATTTCAAGCTATGTCAAGAAAAGTACTTTACAGCAATACTCTTACAAGAGTTTTGCAATGAAGTGAAGAGAAAGACGTCGCTTATCACTCTGGCCGAAGCACAGCTTGCTTCCAATGTTCGTGTGAGTAACACGAGCTTTCATTCGCCGGTGTGACTCAATTAACTTTGGTTCAATTTTTTGTTCGATTCACAGTTTGCCGAAAACTATGTTCTTGCCCAAAGTAACAAATTCGGTTCGCACTCCATGTATTCTTTGCAGGAGCGTTTGACTGGTCCAGTTGAAAGAACATCGGACACCAGTTATGAGCCACCCACCGAAGGTCTTGTACCCATGCTGTGTTTCCTGAATTGCTTCACGCATTACACTTACTGGTATACGAAGCACCAAGCGGTTATCAATGGGTTCCATTATGTTGGAAACATCATTTTTGACTCTCTCATTGTTGATCACCAGTCAGTGATCCCTAAAAGCGTCCGAGTGGTCCTGTTTGCTGATCATTCATATACGCCCATAGGTACACTTGGCACGCCGGATATATGTCAGCATGTATATCCCACTTTGAGAGAGACCACCGGTGCAACCGCCTCTGTCGGGTTTTAGGAATCAATGACCGCCCAGTAGCGTAAATAGATCATGACAGTCACCCTCCCTACGGAAATTTTCTCAGACAATCAACATCCTTTGTTTCATACCAACTGAAAAAAAAATTCAGTCTTTCTTCTGCCAGTCTGTGTTAGGCAATCACTATCCTTTGTTCACAAACAATATAGAAATATTTTTTAAAAAAAAAATTATGTTAGCCTGATTTTTATTTTGTTCTTGCGAAAAATACAAAAACCTTTTATCGGGATGACCCCATAATGATAATGCGCGGTATCTCAACAAAGCACAATGTATCCTCCTACCTTTGTAGTGGCAGAGTAGGCTACATTGGAGGGCAAACAGCTATTCATTTATCAAGTTGGAAGATGATTGTCCTCGGTTTCGTCGTGCGAAGCACGACGGACATTGCTACTTAACGTAATTGTGTGGAGAAAGCTTATGTATGTCTCCTGATATCAGTTGATCCAGAGTACACAAACAATGAGACCAGAATTGTTTATATACAAATCACAATATATGTGGCCATATCAAATCACAATATATGTGGCCATATGAGTCTTTATCTGATGGGTTTATCCATTTGTCTATAGTAACCAAATGTGACATATGTAAGACTAATCTGACTTATGGATAAACTACCTTTGGTGCTCCAGTCCTCCAGCACCACTTATTACTTACTGAAAGCGCCTAAGGTTAGATGATGCAAGCCAAACTTAAATGCATACCAAATTATACATCCCTGCCGCATGTAAGTATGGTGTCAAGTAGATTTCTTGTGCATTTTTTGTCCTTTGCCTGCGTTTGTTGCATGGGAGAATGCAAAGTACGCAGGCAATGACCAGCCCATGTTTGCATCAATCAAGCAGACATTAGTGGATTAATCCATAACCACTCTTTCACCCTGGGCCGCTTTGACACTCATCTCTTGTGGACATTGACGTGGTTATTTATCACCGCAAGTCTTGAATGCAATTGCAATTGCAAATTGAGCTCTCCAAAGCCTCTGCTATCCGGATGGCTCGATTTTCCACAATCATATGTTTGTGTAGTCAAATAGCAACAGGTGACAACTAACTTGTAGGATGTCTAGACAATAATATGATAAGAAAATTCATAGTTAGGAGTAATGGTCCTCACTATATATGCAATCACCAGTGTAGGTTCAAGCGCAGGATCGCACATATATGCTCCGCCCCTTTCAAAAGGAGCATGGCTAAAAAGGTTCAAAACAAACAAAGAATATAGGCAGCCATCCATATGCAGCTATTCTTAAAATTATTCTCACACATGAGCTAGGAAAGCTCACTGTTTTCAAGCCAAAAGAATGAGAATGCTAGCACTTCATTTGATTCTTCAGACAGACATGCGCACAGGATTAACACAATGATAGTGCAGTTCAGATCTTATTCATGCCAAGGGAGCATGAATCATTATCATTCTCATGGCAAAATATTTATCATGTGCATCAGAACACACTGCTTTCAATTAATCTCAAGTTGTTGAATTCAGTCCATCCTTGCATGGGTCATGCACCCTAATGCACCTCACAGCCTTGATGCACCTCACAGCCTTGGAAAAGAAGCGGAAGACTTTTTGCCCAAAGAACTCTTTCAAGCGCGGTGCGAGAGAAAAAAATGGTGTTGAATTTTTAACAAAGTACTTACAGCACTGTATGTATATATTCAATGTAGGGGGGGGTTATTATGTAATGACTCCCCATTGATTTGTGTTGCTGTCAGTACCCATCTTTGACACTTCATGAAATGACGTTACATATCCTGCCCCGCGACACTGGGTCGCATCTTGCATCACACAGCGCACTACTTGGTGTGCAGCGACATGGTAGAGGTTTGCATGTGTCATCAACTCGTTTATGGCTGGAAGATCAACTCCTGCAAGGCAACCATCATCCTGGAGTTGCGACACATATATTGGTGCGGCAGAACTTTATACCCTGTCTACAACAGATAGCTATGTGTGTGTTACAACATCTATCAATGTGTGGCAGCATATGCAGCATATGGACATGTGTGGGAAAATATACAAACATATACACATGTGCCACATATAAGCTTAATAGCCTTGATGACCATGGCACACTTTAATATCACGTTCATACATATCTGAGATACTGGTATATGTATGAATGTGATATTAGGGGGTTGCAAGTTTGGGTTGGGTTTGTTGGCGTAGTTTTTATAAATGTGGAGAAGTTGTTTGTTTGTAATCTTTTTTTTGTAGAACGGTGGTATTCTGAATTTGGGCCACTGAGGAATTTCCGCTTTAGAAAAAAATTCACATCTGACAAAATTGGGCAAGTTGTTGTAGCATAAAATTATGGCAAAAGGGAGCCAACATGACACCCCCTATTCAGGTCTATGATGACTAGAGATTCATAGACCTGAATAGGGATAAGTAAGTGTCAATGGTTAAGCTGCGTGTGACCTGTTCACAGTAGTTTTATATGTGTATGTAGTTGTGACCAGTTCACACACAACTACATACATGCCCTCAGTGTGAACCAGGTGTGGTATGACACCCCCTATTCAGGTCTATGATGACTAGAGATTCATAGACCTGAATAGGGATAAGTAAGTGTCAATGGTTAAGCTGCGTGTGACCTGTTCACAGTAGTTTGATATGAGTCTCAAGTGTGACCAGTTCACGAATACATACCTGCCCTCAGTGTGAACAAGGTGTCGTAGTGTAATGGTTTATGCTACTGACTAAAAGAAACATTTGGGATGTGTACCTGGGTTCAATTTCCAGATGAGTGCAGGTTTCCTTCAGCAGGAAATCTGGAGCCTAGCTTGTCTAAGACCACACTGATGTTGTTTCTGGGTATCATAGATAGCCTTTGTACAACTTGAAGTATGCCCCCACCTTTGTTTTTGTGAATCATCAATGGTCTTCATTATTATTTTCAAGTGCGTGCAACAACAAATAGATTGTTACAATTCACATGATTACCTTAGAGTGGGTTTCACAAATGCATTTAGAATGATGGCAAGTACTTATCATTCATGTGGCACAAGGACTTATCATTCATGTGACACATCAACATTGGCTGCTTGCATAATGATGATGTATACTTACTTAGTCATTGCTCAAGGCGACTGTGATTGCATTTAATTGTATGACAACATCTACACTACACTCAATGCAAAGAACTGGTGGACAAATGAAACAAAAATTGGATCAAATGTTGGAGCCGCTTTGTGGTGTTTGTGGGTTAGGCGTTGCAACTGCCCCATTACACACAGCATTAAATTCTGTCTGAAAATAAGGACGCGCGACAGCAACCGTGAGGTTCTCCTTGTTGCAATCACGCCCCTCTGCTGGCCACTCTTGCCACCACTTGAACATTCTGGCATACCCAACTAGATTTACCCAACCTGCATATCGGTAAACCTGCTTGGTGAAATGATATTCCGTTCCATAACGAGCCTTCCATAGTCTGACGCGAGCCTTTCAGGGGGCAGGGATGCCGGCAGCGAGATACCATTCGAGCATCGAGGAGAGAAGCACGTCCTCCCCAGGCCAATCTCGCAATTGGCCTTGCTCTTGGTTTTGAGGTGGCGTGTTGTCCTGCGGTGAGGCCGTTTGGTTTGGATTGTCCCTAATGTGCGAGGGGGTTGCGTTCACATGGTTTTCAAGGTGCATGTGGGTTTGGTTGATATTTTTGGGGAGCGGGGATGGGAGTTTGGGTTTCACGTCGATCTGGTGAGAGATACCAGTCACATGATGGAGATAATGAAAACAAGTGAGATTAGATCGGGAACAACATGCAAGCTCAAGGTCAGACATGACATACCTCTGCTGGAGCGACGGCTCCGTGTTGGCCTAATAGGTCCGGGTCCAGGTGGATAAGTGTTTCAGGTGTGGAAGGCGGCAAGAGCATCTGGTCTTGGGTCGCTGGTTCTTTGGATGCTACAGGCGGTTGTGATTGACGGGGGGGCGTGAATCCTCGGAGTCTGAATCGTCCAGGTCCAGGAGGGATATGCAAATCTTCTCATGGCTCGAGGCAGGCGTGATGACGGAACGAGTGACTGGTGGTTGCCTTTGGATGGCAGTTGCTTTGCCCTTGCCCAAGGCAGGAGGTGGGCCCTTGTCGAATGTAGGAGTTTTGCCCTTGTCGAGGGCAGTGTTTGAATTGGTTTGAGGTTTGGGTACGAGGGGTTTGCCCATTTGAAGGCCCTCTAGCACGTCTTGGAGCTCGACAGCGAGGCTTGAGAACTGGTGAGGTAGGCAGATGACGAGATTCTTGGAGCTAAGAACATAAGTATGTGGCAAAGTAACACCGATCTCCCGCTGGTATGATGCAACCAAACATCAATGCAAGGTGAAAGCTGTGCGAAGAGACAAAACCTTTGGAACTTACCCAATTTCTGAGTTCTTCGTCCCATACAACGAGGTCGCCAGTCCATTCCTGGCCGGCAGCTGCTTGAGAGGCCCGTAAGAGGCTGCGTGAGTCGTTTAAGACGGCGAGGGGCCAGTCTTTGAAGTATTGAGATATAACTGGCGATTTGGATCCCTGTATGTCCAAAGGTGGTATCAGTGTGGTGATAATCACGGCAAAAACAAAACCACCCTCACGCTGGTGACCAAGTGAAGGCTGATGACTTTACCAGTGTCAATCACCTGTGCAGATTCCTTTCTGGCCGCCACTGTCTCTCGTCCAGTTGCTAAGTTGGTTTCACCTTCTTCATCTACAATGTGACCGACTCGGCGTACAGACTGGGCACACTGGGGTGGGAGGATTCTTGTACGTTTGGCTACCGGTGGATTCGCAGGGGGTGGCACTCTCACACGGGCTGGGGTGATGGCTGGGTTGGCTGGGTTGGCAAGCTGTGCTGGTGGACCTCCCTTGACGCGATGGACATAACATCCACCTGGAGTTCCGTATTGCAGGCAACACTAGGTGAAAAACGTCAGTATGTGGATTAAACAAACATTCAGAGCACCGAGTCGCCTACCTGTTTGCAATATTTATGTGTACAGCCAGAGTGACCCTGTACTTTATGCTTCTCTGCGGTCGGACCTTCGGTGGCACGTGCGCAGGGTACTTGAGGGCCAGAACGGGTTGAGGTACTTGACTTGCTGTGTATTGGGTCGGTGGGAGGGGGGAGGGTCATTCCCTTGCTGTTGACTGGTGGACCGTGGGCAGAAGGATCATAGGGAATGGGGTATTTTCCGCCGGCATTAATGCAACCGATTTCGTGGATGAGCTGATTGATCTTGAACGTTCGGTAGAAATGCCTGGTGGGACACTAGTAGTTCGCAGGGGATCAGGAATGTATCGAAAAGAATAGGCATGGTTGGGAACGTAAGAGGAGGAAACAGACTGACCCTAACACTGATGATGTCCTTAGTGTCGCTGCGTTCGCTGCCGTAGACTAGGGAAGTGTTTTTGGCAGTGGGACAGTCTGGACAACTAAGTCCAACATCACCGTCAGGAGCCGGCAAAGGTAAGGTAGGATAGGCGGCTAGTCGGCGGTATTTGGTCCCGATATATGGGCTGTTCACCATATCGTGGAGGCTGAGGCGGATGGTTCGAGTGGACGAGATAGGAAAAGTCTTTTGTCGAAGAGAGGACAGGCATCGTGTTCGTGGTCGTGGAGGTATATCTGTGATGCGATAAGGGTCGTGTTTCGAAAAAATAATCGTGAAAAAAAGTAACGAAAAAAAACCTTACAAATGAGGACGCGCCCCCAGGGTATGGGTCGATGGAGGTGGATCACACGGGGGTCCCAGCCCCGTGCGCAGCATGGGGAGCCCGTCCCGCTGGGATACAAGGCTAACCCATTTGAGCCCATGCTCTTACTGTGTGCTGTATGTTTCCGAGGTGAGAATTCTCAGAGAATTCTCACTGAAAATCTGAAAGCCGGATGCTCCCATGATTCCCGTGGTGTCAAAACCAATTCAACTTTCAGGAAACACAACAGACACCTGGCCACAATCCTAAGGCTAGAATAGAAAACCAATCCTAATTTGATCTCTATCAAAAACATTAAAGAACCCAACTTGTGTGTGAGGAAAAATGAGAAAGATATCTGAGCTTTCATCAAATTCCTTTCAATCTTCAAATCTCTTTTCCCTCAAGTTTTGAAGTTTCATCAACAGTCTTATTGGAGGGTAGGTTTTTAGCAAGAATATACCATCATCACACATGAAAAACTCATGGTTAGCTGAAGTAATATTATCAACATTGGAAACATTCAAGGAAATCAATTGCACAGAAACCGATGAGGTCGAGGGTTGAGTTTTGGATTAGAGATGGCAAAAACGGACCGGCTCAGCATAAACACTCAAATATTAGCAAGGAAGGCTTGGAAGAGATTTATCATTTCAGGGAGTGTCGAGTGAGGTTTTGAAAGGTGCTCATCTATCAAGTCCATTTTCACGACTATGTATCATCGTTCCTCATTCTCATCTTCATAACATCTCATCGCCTCTGAACCCCAATTCTCAACAAAAGCCTAACATGCCGCAGTATCTTGAGTCGCACAAAACCAAGAGGCCAAGAAATGACTCGTATTCAATCGAAGCAAATCACAAGCTTTCCAACATTTGACAAGACAAAATGGGCTTGCATCTATGTACCAGTTGATGTTTCACTAGCAAACGCAATCGAAGCCATCGATCTCATATCATGCTTGATAACACAACTTTTGATTTTTGGGAACCATGCGGGCAGCTGATCGTTACCCGAGTCGGTCGATGACATCTTCATGCTGAGATACGCGTTCGCACTTTCACCCTACACTTATCGAATCGGGATGATAGCCGCACCACCCATACATTGGGATGTATGTCTTGTGCTCTCATAGGAGGCAGCGAGGACTGATATTGGTCAACCGTTCGAACACATCAATCAGCTTGACCTGGTTGATACGAAGTTACACATCACACTACCTACATATGGCCTATCGAGCCCTACGTGACCAAATTCTCCATTGCGAAGATGATCGGCTTTCGTTGAATGTAAATTGTCGGATCATAAATCTGATGTAAATGAAAATGATCTCATGTTTCGCGTCTTTGAGCAAAGTAACCGAGTTGAGTTGGTTGAGATGAAACTACGCATCACACTACCTATGACCTCGCAAGACCCACTTCTCCAACTTCTCCACGCTGAAGAAGATACGTTCCTTCAGTGTAACTTGCCCAATCGATCATCTTATAAAGATGCTAGTTTGAAAAATATCTCTTCTTGATTTTGAGATCAAATGTTATGAATGATGCTACGGAATGTAAACAAACTTTGATGCGGCTTAGACCTCATTTAATCAAAGTACAGCGTCTGCGACATTTTTGAATAAGGATCGCGTGGAGTAATGCACCGAATTTCAGATCACAATCACACCGCAACATACATGATAGCTGAACAGACTGTCTCTAAAAGTTTCGTTCTTGAGGCTTTCTTGAAATCGTAAAGTGATCTAAACGATGTCTTTGTAGAAATCTAATTAGAACAGTCTATATCAACTTCAGCGTTTATGAAACCTTTGGTCCCAAAGCTCACTGACTGTAAACCAAGATAGGTGATGAACAAATTTCTAACATGTAGTTCACAGACACATCGCGCGCCTTGAGACCCAATCCTTTGAATTGTCTGATGAGGATAGAACAAGCCTTTGAGTTGTGACATATTGATTGTCTGATGGAGATGATTTTGAGAAGGTGTGTCTTCCGGGCAACATATGCTTTGAAATTAAATGATGAACATAAGTTTATATATCACCTGATGAGTATGTTTACTGCAATTACCAAAGGTCTGGTGCATCACTCAATATTAGGAGCATCTATGTAGAACAGAAATCAAATGTTCAGATTAACTTTGGAAGCAATGAGATGACTGATATCGTTCTCTGAAGTGATCTGGATCCATGGACACTGTCTAAAGATTGGGAACGGGTTGTCAAGTATCTTGATAAACGCAAAACCTGATCACTCTTTATAAAGATTCCACTCACAAGCAATATATATACTAACCTGATCGGATCCTAGGATTTCCCTTGACTAGTCTGTGACCTTTTTTCTCTATAATCGAAATACGTGCCTCGGATAACAGAAGGATAGCTCCAATTTGTACTTTGCTAGCTGTGAATTTTAGATTACATTGCTTTCTGAGGATCTGCACAAGATGTGAACCCGACAATCTTCCTATCAGTAAACTTTTACGAAGTCGTCTCAAAGACTTCACATCTATGACCATGGCCTATGACAAAAAAGCCTGGATCGATTAAATTGTGAGTCTTGATGATTCTTCTGGAAGTATCTTCAGATCATGAACGATTATTGGTTAAAATTCGATTGATGAAGACTTGAAAGGCTTTTGCCAAAAGCCAATGTTTGTTCAAAGCACCGTCATTCACCTCAGAGTGATCTACGTGAGAGCTGGACAGACAGAAGAAAACTCACGAGTGAAAGCAACTTTTTGAGCTCGGTTGTAACTAAAGGTTTGGTCCAAAATCTCATTAAACCTTGACCAAGGAGACAGTATAAATTAGGTGGATATCTAATTGCATCCTTGAAGATATCGCTTGCTAAAGCCGTACTTGATGAATTCCCTATAATCAACTGTTGAAAGGGGTGGGGGGCCAAATGAAGTTCATGTACCAGATCTCCGTGCTTTGGAATGATGTAGGATTAGAACTCACATACTACTCTTTGTTGTAATACTCTTGGTGATCAAAGACCTGGAATGTGTATCGAGTTCTTCTTTTCTAATTCCAGTTGATGTGAAAGATACAAATGTATGAACACATAACAATTTGAAATGCACGAGTAATCAGGACAAAAAGTGAAAGAATTGCTTGTTGATCTATACAATTGCAAGATATAAGAAGTAATAGAGTCTGAAGTCATGGTAGCATAAAACGGGGAATTCTAACTATAGCAGAAAATGACTCCTTGAACGAATTCAGCGTGAACGCGTATACATATCGCGTCTTACATTATTGGAATCATTAATAATGCCACGAAAAAGCGCGCGCGGTTCTCTACGTTAACGTGATGCTTGTAATGAGAAAAAATAAGCTTAATTTTACTCCATTTCTGCTTGATTTCTGTTGGGTATGAGTGGCATAAACCGATAAACCCATAAGTATGTAATTGTTCGGGTTAGAGTCAGTATATAAACCGTACGAAGTGAAATTCCTCCTTGAATACTTTTTAACAACTTACCACGTCACACCACCTTCAAATTGGTTCAAAACCTCAATAACCTTCAGAAGATTAGAATGTCAAACTTTGTGATGCCAGATGTTGAGGACGATTACATTGTATGTTCTTTTTTTCCTTTCACTCAACTCTTTCTTTTATTCGATCGATCTTCCCATTCCATTTTCATTTCTCTTACTCTTGTTCCTTTTCTCTCTCAAGAGCTATGCCTCGGGTCTAGAGCGTCACTTCCAAGAAACGGGCGAAAGACTAGCTCTTCTCAGCACGCCAGAGACCAGACTAAAGCAAGAAGCCGAGGCTGAAGCTGAAGCCAAAGCCAAAGCTGTAGCTGAGGCATTGAGCAAACTCACAGAAAGAGAAGGAAGGAGTTCAGAAGAAGGTATGCTTCTATTCCACTTCATGCATTGAATCCTTTTTCACTTGATTCAAGTGGTACACTTTACTGATATTCGCTTCCATTTCCACTAGCTCTTCCCGAACGTCCTCTTGGCCTCAAATCTAAACTCAAGAAGCTTCGCCCAGATGCATTAAGGAAGGGAGACTCGGTGAGTATTTCAACTCCATTGGCTTTTCTTTGTCAATCTTCTTTTCTCTGAGACTCTTTTCTCTTTTTTCTTTTTGACCGCCTCTTCACATCATAGCACCCCAAATCATCCACTGTGCCCAAGATCGTCCACGTCCATCAAGATGATCAACCAATCCCTTCCGGTTCCGAAGAGGTCTCGGTTATCAGCACGCCAGAGACTAGACTAAAGCGAGAAGCCGAGGCTGAAGCTGAAGCCAAAGCCAAAGCTATAGCTGAGGCCTTGAGCAAACTCACAGAAAGAGAAGGTATGCTTCTATTCCACTTCATGCATTGAATCCTTTTTCACTCGATTCAAGTGGTACACTTTACTGATATTCGCTTCCATTTCCACTAGCTCTTCCCGAACGTTCTCTTAGCCTCAAAGATAAACTCAAGAAGCTTCTCCCAGATGCATTAAGGAAGAGAGACTCGGTGAGTATTTCAACTCCGTTCGCTTTTCTTTGTCAATCTTCTTTTCTCTGAGACTCTTCTCTTTTTTCTTTTTGACCGCCTCTTCACATCATAGCACCCCAAATCATCCACTCTGCCCAAGATCGTCCACGTCCATCAAGTCGATGATCAACCAATCCCTTCCGGTTCCGAAGAGGTCTTGGTTATCAGCACGCCAGAGACCAGACTAAAGCGAGAAGCCGAGGCTGAAGCTGAAGCTGAAGCCAAAGCCAAAGCTGTAGCTGAGGCATTGAGCAAACTCACAGAAAGAGAAGGAAGGAGTTCAGAAGAAGGTATGCTTCTATTCCACTTCATGCATTGAATCCTTTTTCACTCGATTCAAGTGGTACACTTTACTGATATTCGCTTCCATTTCCGTTGGCCCAACTCTTGACATTTGATTGACAACAAAGATGAAGCTGAGATCAAGTCCGAAGAAGAGGTAGAATTTGAAAGCTATGAAAACAATCCATTCTTTCCTCAGAATGATGGTATTCTACGATATGATGAAGAATTTAGGGTATACACCAATAGATTTATATATGATGGAAACGCGAATCTATACACTTATAGGTATTATATTTAGTATTAATGCTATGTTTATTTTGGGGTTGAAACGAACATCAATGGTTATATAATGAGATGAAGCGTATTGCTCCTATTGCAAATAGAATTGATGCCTGTCTTGTCAATTGCACAAGTTTCCTCTCATACCCCACAAGGTCTTTCTTGAAGCTTTGGTATTCTCTCTTGCCATGAAACACTCAAAACCATACATCATGTTTGCCTCCTCATAAGGTATCAATACAGCCTTCTACATAATTGCTGTAAGAGTGTTTTCAGTACATTTAATACACCAAAATCGTATTTCTTCTTTCATCCAGACACTTCAGATTTTCTGTTGAAGATTGGTATGGCTCTAAACCTTGATGTTTTGAGTCTTGGTCGCTTCTCTGTCGTCGGCTGTGGATCAGGCAAGGTCTCTACTCTGCACTTCTCTCATTCGAGTCTCAACTCAAGGAACACGTGAGTCTAATTTGACCCTGATCACTTTTGAAGGTATGCTACTACAATGAGGACGATAAGATCGCCAATGTTTGCATTGGCCCGAAAAGTGTGTCATACATCTATGATTGATTTACATGTGTTCGTCTAGAATGTCATACTGCAAGAAAGATCCTCTTTATCTTCGTAGAAAACTACTGTTATACATATTAAATAGATAGAACCAATACACCCAAAAACACTCTACAACCGTACATATATGAATAAAAATACACGCAGATAAACATACAGAACCCATGCGAAATCATGAGCCAGAATCCAAACTAGGACTCAATTTGAGAGTTGAATGATTTAGCTTAATATTTGGGTTTAACCAAATTTCGATGAAAGTCCTCTACAGCATCATGGAGTCGTGTCTGATTTAATCTTGGCCTTGAATCTTGATTGCCTTGAGCCTGTGCTGACATATAAAAAGAGTCGGCACGACCGTCATAGTATTCTCGTTCGTCTCCTCTTTCTCTTGGTCTCCGACTGACTGACTTGTTCCCACCTGCAGGAAAAATATCATGATGTCGTACAGCTGGAGCGGGAGGTCGGAGATTTATCCTTGGCTGATCATAAGCCGTCGGAGAATACAAATGAGATGACCCAGTATAGGACTGTGAGTCTTCAAACCTTCTATGATCAGGCAAATGACAATTATCCATGGGTCGTTTGTCCATACGGTAACCATCAGGTCGTCCACGAGCTCTGCTTGCATTTGATATGCTAGACTCATAGAAATCAGTGGGTGTTCCATACCCTGGACTGATTGGAGCCTGTCGACTTCCCATTCCTACCGATGGACTACGGCACAAAAGATACTTGTTTAGCAGAGATCACAGAACTGATGATTAACGTCTTTCAATCCTTACCCAGCGTGATATACAGATGTGCGGTGCCTATCCCAGCGATTCGGAGATGGAGTGTCTTCACGATACTTGATATTAATCGACCCGGAATCTTGGGAATTGCCGAGGTCAAGGTATCCCTTCTGAGGTGGATAGTAGAACTCTGATGCAGCCTCATCGTATACAGTCACTGGGAATGATCTAGGACCCTAAATATTCAACGGTGGAAGTGATCATGGAGGTTATATCAGCCCGCGGACCGACGAATAGATCGAAGATGGCCATGATCCAAGTGATTTGACTTACGTAGGACTGTGAGATTGGCCCATTATGCTCGTAAAGATCGACTTCGGGTGTATAGCCCTGCTTCCTCTCTTGCCCATATGCAGAGTGGTGGTCGTAGACATGTTCAGATCGTCGTGCATTCGATGAACCTACGGGCTTGAAGACTGGAACTGTAGTTGATAATTTTGATTCATTCCAAAGAGCAGGATTACCTTGAAGAAAATCAGACGTTTCATCTTCCAACGCTTTATCTTCTTTCCTTCTTTTAGTACCCTTTGAGCATTGTACCAGAAAGCCTATCAAGGCCGCCAGGAGACAGGCGCCAACTAAAGTCATGGTTCGAAGTTGGATTTGGTTCAGCAAAGCTCAAAGATGATGAAAGAACTCGGAGCGTGGAAAGACTTACTGATACCAGACCCAAATAAGAAGAGCTTTTTGTCAATCCCTAGAATACGAGCAGGCGTTGCGCTATTGGATTGAGATGTAGTGAATATGTTTGATGACTTTGGAATATCTTTATTGGTAGTATTTTTGGGGACACCCTTGATATTTTGTACTCCAGGAGCGGTGGAATTCTTGGTTGCATTGGATTTTGCAGAACTCTGGCTGAGGCTTGTACTCGGGTCTCCTTTGATCCCATCTGCCACTACCCCGGAATTCTGGAAGACCTTATTGAAATTTATACCTGAAGAACCTCTCGCTCCATCTCCCGCTACTCCAGTCGGAGTTCCTAGTGGTTTGAGGGCAATAACTCCATCGACGCTTTTTTGTGCTAGAGAATCTGGCTTGTTGTTGATTGTCTTGCCACCTCCGTCCAACTTTCCAGTTTCCACGAGGGCCCGGGAAGGTGTATCGGTAGGATTGACGAGCTGAGTTTTTGAAGCGGGAAGCATGGAAAATGGAATTGTTTGTGGGTCTGAGCTAGCGGATGCTAAGGGCCCCAACGCCTGGTTCAGTGCTGAGGGTATCACCAGCTCCTTGGGGTTTCCTGACGGCAATAGCTTTGTGATGTCGGGTATAGTCGCCATCTGGCTCTTATTCGGAGGGGGACTGACGTTTTCGAGCTGCAATGGACGCGGGTCATTTGGTGGTACCTCAGAGCGAGTGTTGCCTGAACTTGACTGCTTCTGGTCCTGTTTTGGGGGTATAGATGAGGGTGAAACGTCGACCAGCTGACGGGTTGGGTTGCCGTTTGGGTTTGAAGGCGAAATAGAACTAGATGTATTAATGTGCAACCTATGTACTTGCTCGGGTTGTGGCTCTGCCTTTGTACCTTGATGAAGTCTTTCGATAAACTGAGGATCAGGCGGCTGGATCGGGTTGATCTTTTGGTAGTTTCCTCCGACTTCTGAGCGGGTATCTGAACCCACAGGGTATGGAGGTGACGAAGATGGATGTGCGGCGTTGTGATGAACAGTTAAAGGGGTTCCGTCTGCGGTTCCTTGCAGTGCGGATTGCAAGCTTCCTGGGAGATTTTGCAAGCTGCGAAAAGGTTGTGATAGATCGAAAGGCCAAGTTGCGCCAGGCCTTGGTGCGCCGCCAATGACTGGTGTGGTATTTGGTGTAGCCCCTGACAATGCGTCGAAGGTCAGGACGCTCATCGCCGAAGGGAATACCTTCCCATGAGTAGAGCCATTGAGTAGATGGGCGTGGGTACCACTTTTGACAAGCCGATCAGCTTTGGCTAGAAAGTTTTGTTGATCAGAACTTGAAGTAAATGTAACGAGTGATTCAAAGAGGTAGCAATCAAGATTAGAATGATCAGTTCATGAGTTTAATAATATGAGGTCATCCGGCAAACTACATACATAGCTCAAAGAAACTATGTCGACCGGCGAAATCGTGCGAGCTGAAGCGGATGTCGTCCCATAAACGTGTTTTTGGACTCGGTCATCAAGTTACCATCCTCTGTCGTTTGATTCTTTTTTTTTCATTTCTGATCCACGAGGGGCGAATTCCTCGTGCTCGAGGATTGGATTGTGGTAAGTTCCTTCGGTTGGCCACCACCTGGAGTTTCTTAGAAACCATGCGCGATGACGCAAATGTTGCAACACCAATGCATATGGCAAGCTATCGAATTCGCAACTCAGTGCCATCGTTCTGCAAAACTTGCAATCTCTTAAATACTAGCGGCACTCTTTGCCCAAGCAGAATGTGGGAATGACGGAGGTCTCTTCCATGTTTGAATACTACGAAGGACGTGACCTTTGGTCGTAAGAGAGACAGAAACATTTCAGAAGGAAACCAACATGATAAATAAACGCGAGTGGGTCCACGAATCAAAGTGTGGTCAAGCTCATTTAAGCATCGCTTAGGACTGATCGTCGATATCTGGTGTGTGGACCCAGTCTGAACCTTTCAATTATCCTCATGTACATTTTCACCTTAACCGCTTCACCTCTCCATAGAACAACCCTCCTGGTTCATAAAATATCAGTTTGCACAGGAAGTTGGTCTCGGAGTGCCAAAACATTTTAACAGAACCGGAACCAGTTTTAGAAAAGGGGCTTTATATGAATAACCTCACAGATGGGAGGGATTTAAGAAATTGGCTTCAAGGTAAATCAAAAGAGAGCAATTCTAGCTATGGGCAGATAGAACTCCCCGAATTGCAATCAAGAGCAACTCTTCTTATTTTACAAATGTGTGCAGAGACAGCTCCCACATTCCACTGCTTGGATGAGCTAGACCCCGTATATTACAGCCCTTAGGTAGTTCCCACCATTTATATACGGAACACGCGAAGGGTCGTGTTCATGGTCAATGAAAGCAAACAAAGAAACCATGTCAAGCCAAACACTCAGCCAAGCCTTGTGGTGATTTTACGGGTGTTTGGTTATCAAGGTCCGACTTGAAAGTGTACAAGGACATGATGTGACCAAGAATCCAAACTTCCAGTGGATTAACTGATGATTGAGAGATGACCCAACCTGAAATGTTTGAAAAGTGGACACTCCAAGTGAAGGTTAGGTGAGGATGTGGCAGGAGTTCAACAATCATCCAGTGAACAGGCTATTGTGCACTATGAGTGGAAGTCTGGGTGATAGCCCCTGAATTTTTCATCAACACATCGTAACTCGTATTGATGAAGCTCAGCCTTCGGACAGCACCCACGGTGAGGTTTAGGAGTACTGGAAAGTCAGGGTGACAGGATTCGAAAACACAGTCGATTGAAGTATTACCCATTCACAGGACGGCTCGAAGCTGAAGGTATGAAGGTATGAACGATCATTCGGATATCGGAGTAATGCGGTCTGAGCAGGAAGGATGCCATATGAAAAAAATTGTTGAAGTTTCATAAAAAGGCTTGAACATATGTAAATTTCTTGTTTCTACACTGCAAAACCAACCAGCCCAAGTAAAGGCCGCATACAAATTCAAATACGCTCAACCCATCTTTCCAGCAGGAGCAGGGTTCCTATAAACAGAAAAGTGAATAAGATATGTTGGTCAACGAGAAGAAACCAAAATGAAGAGGGATCGGAATGGGTGAGACTGACATTTTGCGCTTGCCACCGTGTTGTGTTGTAACATTGAATCGACGGTTGAACAAGATACGTCTGTAGGAGAAGTTTTCAACATATATCAGATTGTGATGCGAGCCTTGTGAGTTAAATCTAAGCTAAAACACACTTCTTGGCCCGGCCTTGCAGCCTCTTCTTTGTCTTCTCCTGCTTTTCAACTTTAGGAGTTTGAGATCGGACCTTACCGGCTCGTGCTAAGGAACCGTGAACTGAATGAGAGGAAGCGAAACCAAAGTATGGTTAGACTCTTGAATGCGGTTTGTCAGGAATGTGTGCATAGGTGTGTTTGAAGGCAGATTGTGAATTGGAGGGTGGGCGAGCAATCGACGGGTTTCTTGTCTTCTAATTTAGCCATGTGGACGGGGCAGACTTCGAGGCAGGTCTTTGGTTTTGGTGACCCTTCGTGCGATGATGATGAATGTGACAGAAGCAAAAGTAGATGACGTCGTGTACTAACCTTTACCCATCTGAGAATCAACAGTCAGTCAGTTAAAAGAGCTAAAGTTATGATGCGGCAGTAAACTCACATTGAATGATGTCTTGAGGTGGGATCAAAGGTTTCGTATCTTGATGGTACTCGAGTATAAGCCTAGCGGTTGTGGCATGCGTTACTCGGTGGCCCTCCCGTTGCGCACGGGAAGCTAGGGCTATTGTGATTTTGGTCGATTAGGGTTAAGTTGAGTATATCGCTATTGAAATGTATGCCAGAGCTGAGGTGCGCACGCGACATGAGGCCGCCCGCCTCTTAGGTCATGCACTGTGACACCTATCACGCCCGATGTCACACTGATCGATTTCGTCAACTTCAAGAAATCCTCCAAGGCTTCAGCTGTTTTAGTGCTCAGCAATATCAGCAAAGATGATGAAAATGTCAAATTTAACGAAGCATGCTCAATACACTTCAAAGGCTCTTCAGCATTCCATTCGATCCATATCTTCCTCCGATTCTCTTTTCATCAATTCGACCTCTAGTCAGCTGTCATCACGCAAACCAGACTTAGGTCAACTATCATCTCATGACATCGTAGGACCACCTTCTCCAACATCCAATCTAAGGCCTGTAGAATACGCACCTTTATTTTCAACCAGTACCATCTTCCCCGAAGCAAGTGCATCCGCCACTCCATCCTCGGGTTCGAGGTCATCACATCCCTACTCATTAAATGAATTTAACACCCAATCTACTCCCTTACCTCCCTCCCTTACCGAACTGAGGAATAAACTCCATTTAGAAGACCTCGAATGGATTACCTTTCGTAAACGGATCGATAAGATGAATGAAACCTTCTGGGCTCATCAGTCAACTGACTTTGAAACATTAGAAGAAGCTGAAAAACAACGTGTACTACTACTAGCCTCGATCGAAAGCTCTGGTCTCGGTTCACCTTCCTCTGCCGATCAACAACAACTCATAAGTTCTGCTTTAGACAAATTTTATAAATCATGGCTCTTGAATGAACAAGCTCGGTTTAAAGCATACAACTTGACTTGGTGGAAAGCTCAACCTGAACTCTTACGTGGTAGTTGGAGAGCTCAAAAACGAGTTTGGAGATGGAAATTAGCTTGTTGGCTTCATACTTGGCGTTTCTTTCAGCCCTAGCGCTTGGGAATCTTGAGTGTGTTTGTTTGATCCCAAGTACGCAAAGTAGAAGTCTCTCTTACTTGTGCCGGCAAGCCATATCTGATCCATTGATATTTTATGTACACTAGCCGAATTCATGTCGATTGGCTGCTAGAACTTGTATGATCTTATTTCACTCACAAAAGTTATGCCAACTTGATAATAATTGTATTTGTAAAATTCACCATGATCAAACGTCTTCACCTCGAGCCAAGCAGCTTGGATTGAATGGCTGTGTGGCTGTGATGATGCACATTTCTTCACTTTGAGTGAACCCACCCATTCGGACCTAGCACAAGCTCGAGAACATCGGTTCTATCTTGCCACAAGGATGTTGCGTGAATGAAGAAGCCCTAACATCAAAAGATTTATGTACTTCTTGCGGTCGAGTCCATCAGCAATTATGAGCCTGAACTTTTGACTTGCAATGACAATGGATATCTCAAAGTCATCATATCATGTATCATATCACAATCAAACCACCATTCTAAATCAGTCACTTTTTCTGTTCCACCTTTTTTCGTTACTAATTTCAACTACATTGTTTCATCTATCTCGTTCGTTGAAAAGGATTTCATGTTCTCTTGCATATCAGGTGATGCATCAATTGTCCCCAGATGAACTATCTAAAGAGCAGGGTGAAGCATATGAATCAATCATCAATGTGATGAGTGAATGCCAGCAAAGGCAAACAAGAAGAGTTGCACAACCCTTCACATAAAAGTTGGGGCACCTCTCGATCATACTTAAGCTAAGGGCTACATAATTACGGTACTCAAAGCTACATAGTTACACGTATATAGTTGTCGTATATACTTTTTTTTGGCGGGGAAAATAAAACGAATATACTTTTGGACTCGTTTTCCCCGCCAAAAAAAACTATGTAGCAAAAAGTATGTACGCGTACATACTTGCTTTGAGTACCGTAAATCTTGTTAAGCTCTCACTCAAATCTCACCTCAAGACCTTCCCTTCCCTCAGCATATTCCTCAACCAAGCAGAAATGTCACTCCATTCACGTTCTCAACAGCAATCTACGGCTCAAGCTACCAGTACTCGCTCTCCTCTCAAAAAACTTCGTATTGCATTCATTCATCCAGATCTCGGAATCGGTGGCGCTGAGCGTCTGGTGGTGGACGCAGCTGTTGGTTTACAAAAGCGTGGTCATCAAGTTCAAATCTTTACTTCCTCACATAATCCAACTCGTTGTTTTCAAGAAACTAAAGATGGTAAGTAGCCTATACATCAACAACGATCATGTTTTGTGACTGATGAGTGTCTTGTATGTCTTTAGGAACACTTCAAGTCAATGTTTGGGGCAACTCAATCTTCCCTCGTGCACTTGCTAATCGATTCATTACTATCCTAGCCATCCTTCGACAACTCCATTTATCCTTTCAAATCATTATAAATCTATGGCTCTCTTACCTTCGACTCTCATCACGATCAACGGAATTTGACGTATATTTCATTGACCAACTCTCGGCTGCTATTCCTTTGCTACGTTATGTAACACGTACACGGGTGGTATTTTATTGTCATTTTCCTGATCTTCTGCTTTCGACACCTATCTCTACACCTCTTCAATCTCCTTCAACTGGAATGATTCATCGCTTGAAATCGATTTACCGGATTCCCCTTGATTGGATAGAAGAATATACCACTGGTTGGCCTTGTTTTTTTTGAATTGAGACTCATTCTACAACCAATCTTTTATTTAACAGGTTATGGGTTTATTATCCAGGCGAGGCAGACAAGATCCTTGTGAATTCTCAATTCACAGCAAAAGTGTTTCAGGATACGTTCAAGTCTCTTAACCGTATTCCACGATGCGTATACCCCGGGGTGGATGTTGAGCTTTATGCTCGTCCTACTGATCATATCCTCAAAAAGCCTCTCCATTCGTTAGTTCATCATCTTAATCCAACATGCTTCTGTTGCCTTTCTTGTTGCTGATCACTCTGGTTCACTTTCGATCCTCCTTCAGAGCACGCCCTACGATTCTTTCAATCAATCGGTTCGAAGACAAGAAGGACTTGGGATTAATCCTTGAAGCTTTTATCATTTTCAAACGTTCTAATTCCGAAACCAATCCATCTACTTCTCCAAGACTCATCATTGCCGGTGGTTATGATCCTAGACTTTCTGATAATCGAGATACGTTGGCCCGCCTGAAAACTCTTCTCGATGCACCTGGTTCACCCTCTTATGCGCTTTACGACCAAACCTATAATTCTACAACAGAAGAATCACCTGATGTACTTTTAATACCGAATATTGAAGAGGCAGACAAACGTGCACTTCTCCTAGCGCCTTCGACTCATTTACTTGCTTATACAGCTGCCAATGAACATCTTGGAATCGGACCACTTGAAGCTATGGCATCTGGAGTACCTGTCCTTGCAGCCGATTCAGGTGGACCAAGAGAAACAGTAGCACATGAGATCACAGGAGAACTTCAAGCACCTATTCCAAGTCTTTGGGCAGAAGCTTTGGATCGATTGCTTGGAATGAAACCGAACGAACGATCTAAGATGTCAGAAGAAGGAAGAAATCGAGCTAGAAAGATGTTTTCGACTGATTCAATGATTAATGATTTCGAAATTGCTCTCTTGGAAACTGTTAATCAACCAATTGATCAACCAAACAGATTAGATATTTGGCAAGAAGAAAGGTTGTTTAAAACTTTGGCTGTCTTGACGATTCCGATGATTACTTTTTGGGTTGGGGTATGGGCCATTTGGATGCGATTGAGTGATGGGACTAGGGACCTAGAGTAATTTAAAGGTGCTGGACATCTGAAGAATGTATAATAATTAATTAACTTTGCATGATTTTTTTTTCAGAGGTTGGGTACATCAAGACATTTCATGATGAAGACACCATATATTATTTTTAACTCATTTGGACATCTTTATTTATGCATAGTAGTATTTTTTTATCAAAATGATCATAGCAATCAGTTGGTTTGTTGAATCTTTTTCAAAGGTATTGCAAATCATGTCAAAAGTAATCAAGATATATTGCATATGACAGAAAATTGTTAGATGTCAGATTAGGATTATATAGATTGTCAAGTGATTTCATTAGAAATAACATCATCAAACAGAGCCATGGCCCATATCTTATAGCAATAAATGACTAGCATTGATGTTGACTCGAGAAATGGATCACTCGTTGGCTCATCTTCCACTGTAGCTCACTTTCTATATTCCTATATCATTGCCGAGCTATACGATTGTGCAATACAAAAAACAAAATTTATGACCAAGCTGCCAATGGCTGTATACCAGGCAGGTATGTATTGTGAAAAAGCTACATAGATATGAGAGTCCCGACTCCCTCCCTTGACCACTTGCTTGGCCAGCAGGAAGCCAGTTAGGTAAGAAAAAAATGGGGTTAGTCAGCTTCTGCTAGCTGCAGTAATATGTAACTTGTTACTGTGCTCAGTCCACAAGATTGCAAACTTTGTTGAAACTTGTGAATTGGCATGACAGGTATGATGTATGGGTGGTTTGCTAAACAAGTTTCAGCAGAGTGATAAGGAGATTTAAGTAGTGAAGATTAAATGCTAAACTCTATGACTTAGAGCTAAAGAAGTGTGAATTGATAGATTTGAATTGAATTGCTTAAAAGAGAAAGAGAAAGTAGTAGATTACATTACCAAAAGAAAGAAAATGAAAACTAATGAACCATCATCATCCAAATTAAAATCAAAACTTCATCATTCAACTTCAAGAGACTCAAGTACTTTTATCAAATCTACTGATTCTGATTCTGATTCTGGTTCAGGTTCAGATTCATTTGATGATCAATTTCATTCATCTACCTTTCAAAACCATCCACTACAAATCACTTCAGATAAATGGATTCCAATCATTGGTAAACCTATTAATAACAACCAACCACAACCATCAACTTCAAATGCAAACTCACATTCACATCCATCAAGATCATCAGTGACTGTTAAAGAACCTCAAGATTTGGATTCAGTTCCACTCTTTGAAGATGATGATTCAATTGAATATGTTAAAGTGGATGAAAAAATATCAATCTATGTGGAATGCTTTCAATCAATGTTGGAAACTGTTTTAGAAAGAGAACATTATCTGTTTGATCATCATGAATCAAACTTGCTTAACTCTTGGAATACTTTAACGTGTGAGTCCTTTTTCAATTTCTTTCATAATCTTTCAGTTTATGATTTAATTGAAACTGATTTGATCTTTTTTGGGGGTTTAGATTCTGCAAAGTATCTGTTTGTTAGACTCTTTATGAGAAAACATGATAAATGGTTTAGGATTGATAAATTAAAAAATTATGAACTGGAGATTGATAATGTTCATGAAGCATGTCTACAACTTGCACAATTAAACCCCAAGAGCAACTCCACCCAACCCACTTCACCTAATCCAATCCTAGAAGATCTTACCTTCAACATGGACCTTGACGATCAGATTGATATCAAATCAGATATGATCGATCCAATGTTACTCAATCCGTCTTCTTCAATCTCTCATTGTAATGCGATCAGAAAGATATCCGAAAATTTATCCACAAATCTAATCGATCAAGCCTTCAAAAGTTTAGACTTTCAAACCCATGCGATCTTACCCATCTTACCTCCAATCCCTCAAGCCGTTCCGATCTTAGGACCTCACTTGATCCCTTACCTTTCATTTGCAAACCCTTCAAAAACCAATCCAGAAGAACTTTTGAATTGTTTATCATTAATCGAATTGAAATCTTTAGCTAAATCTTTAAAAATTAATTTTCATACTACTAGAGATATGATTATTAAAGGTTTATTGGAATCTTCTAAGAATCAATCTACCTTGGTGATGGGTTTTAAAAAGAATGGAAAGAAAGAAGACAATGGATTCGGTTTGAAATTCGATTCACGTGGTAGGAAAGAAAGACAGAGTGAAATGTTGAGTTCGAAAGGTAAGTCATCCAAAAACTCATTGAAACCAAATCACCATTAAACTTATAACAAATCAATTGATTTTTCGTGTTTATGTTTTGTTTTCTTCAAACAGTTCTAGGAATCATTGGGGATTGTATAAAGTTAGATCCAGAAGTTTGTACACTCTTTAGTCGCTTACATTTGATTTACTATAGATCAAGAACGGTGACAGAGAAAACCATGACAGCAGCCACCCTGGCACGCTTCAAACTACGAACCTATCCCACCTATCATGTAACCCGAACCAGCTCGATTTTCGAATCAAGAGATTCCTTAATCAAATATGAAAGAGCATTATTAATGGAAAAAGAAATGGAAGATTGTTTGAATGGAGCAAGTTATGTTGGTTCACAGAGAGAACCGAAAAGAGTGATGGTTGATAAAGTTGAAGAAAAAGAAAAGAGAAAGACAGAGAAGGATCGAAGGATGAAGAAAGGAGAAGAGATCTTTAGGAGAGCTTGGATAGAATGGCAAGAAGCTTTGAAGGAAGAAGATCAGAGGATCGAACTTGATCGTGCGAATCGAAGGGATGAGGATCCGATGAGGTATTACCGAAGACAGTTTTATCCGGGTAAGATCTTGATTGAGTTTTGTGAGATTTGAAGATTGTGAAATGAAAGTTGATCGATTGATATTTATTGGTTTGATAGGACATCCACTTACAAGGATAGTTTATAAGGCAACCGAGATTTTGTCATACTATAAAAACTATGAAGGAGAAATCGAAATCTTAATCACACTTTTAAAACAAAAACATTTCAGAAGAGGTAAAAGAGGAGCATGGTACGAAAGATTAGCATTAGTGTTGATGACCCACTTTGAAGGCAGACACGAAACCGCTCTAAGGGTTTGTGAAGAAGGATTAAATGATCCAGACACACATGAAATTTATTATCTTTCGTTAAGAAGAAGATTGATCAGATTAAAGAAAAGTTTAGGAATCAATCAGTTTTCAGTTGAAGAATGGAAGGTGATGAATTCTAGTAAGAATTGGTGTAGGAAAACGTTGAGTGGTAATCGGATTGAAGATGGTAGAGAGATTGGTAGGAAATCAAAGTGGAACTCGACTCGGAATCCTTGGGAGGAAGTTTCGGTGGAAGAATTCGTTTTGGAAAAGTATTGTGAAGATGAGAATTGGAAAGGATTTCATTCTGAAGGATCGATCTTGACTACTTTGGTAAGTTGAATTCTTTTGAATCAAATTCACATTTAATATTGATGTGTGTTTTTGTGTTTTGGGGGTTTGGATGGATTAGTATTCTTTGATTTTTTGGGATGTGATCTTTGCTCCTGTACCTGGTGTCTTTGAAACTTCTTATCAAAGTGCTCCATTAGACCTTTTTACAGACGCATTTGCAATTGGTAAATCTTTCAATCTTGTTCTACAAAAAAAAAGAAACCAACATTTTTATTTGATTGTTTTTTTTGGATACAGTCAGATCAAACTTAATCAAAGAAACAATAGAAAGTTTTCAAAAAGAAGGTATTGGAAAGATCAAAGAAACTTTAATCAAAACATATGAAAGAGAATCAGAGAAAAAGACTTGGTGTATTGGAATTCATTGGGAAAGATATGGCATGAATGAATTATTGGAGATTTTAGAATGTTTAGGATGTCTTGAGATATGTAAACTTTTGAAAGTTTTAAGTGAAGAATATGGGTTTAGAAAAGGTGGTGTACCTGATCTTTGGTAAGTCAATTTCCAAATCTCAATGTTCTTTTTTTGAAGTGGATGGGAGGGTTTGATGGGCTTTCAAATTGGGCTTTGGCAGTTTGTGGAATCATAAGGAAAAGAAAGTCTTGTTTGTTGAAGTTAAAGGACCTGGTGATAGACTTTCAGAAACTCAAATCGTAAGGAAAATTTCTCTATGTTTCTTTGAGGGGATTCCAATGTTGAAGTTGGGTTGGTCACGTCTTTTTGATAGGCTTGGTTAGATTTATTGAGGATTGGAATTGGTTGTGAAGTTGAAGTTTGTGAAGTTAAAGAAGATGAAGATCAAGTGTTTAGGTAAAGTATAGATCATTTGATCTTCCAACATTATTCTTAAGATTATCATTGTTATTTTTCTTTGGGTCTTTGGGCGGGGGAAAGGTTATTTATTGTGTTTTTCTAGTTGGTAAATCTTTGTAAGAATTGAGAAAAAGTTTGATATATAAGTTTTTATTTTTCAAAAAGTCCGTTAAGGTTTTTTTATATGATTATGATAGATAGTAAATAAATTAGAAAGTTTTTACATTGTGTTAATGCTTTTTCTTTGTTTTTTTAACAAGTTTCATTTGGAAGAATGAAATGGGATTTTTTGTCGTTTTTTTGTATTTGTTGGATTAATGAAAATATTGTTTTTTTGGGTTTTGTTGGTTTATATTGGGCTTGGGATGTGTTATTGATTAGAAAAAGGTTGAAGGATTTATTTTGCAAGGATGGAATTACTCTTGAGATAGATTCTCATTCTTCATGAAGCTCGGTGTTCTCTGTCATATTACGAATGCTCCGAAGTCGCGTATTGAACGAAGAAGCAAATCCCCGGATAGTTGTGCGGTTAATGGCCCTGCCCGAAGGCGTAATGTCAAGATGACCGATGACCCGCTACATACTCGGGTAAATGGGAGTCAGGATTGAACTCATTGAACAGATTTACAACTTCAACCTGAACAACCAAACGAACAACCTATATACGACAAATGCCTATGATACCAATTGCAGCAGGTGTATGGCCAAAAACTAGCGTAAAAGTCAGTTTTAAAATAGCAGAAGGATTGGGTATTTTACCTGGCTGATCTCGATCAATTTCATCATTCAAACTCAAAGGACGTAGCCGAATCTTTGGGAATCGGAAACTTATCAGATGAAGCAGCAAGCGCGCTAGCAGCTGACCTTGAGTTCAGGTTAAATCAAATCATTGAAGTAAATTTTACATTGAATATATGGAATTTACATCAGATTTTTGACTGATTGGTTCTTGTGTAGGAAAGCATCAAGTTTATGAGACACGCAAAACGGACAAAGTTGATGGTGGAAGATGTTGATTATGCCCTACGAGCCAAGAATATAGAAGTGAATATTTGATCTTTCTCATTACTTCATCTCATGCTGCACTGACTTGAGGTTTGTCTATAGCCTTTATGGGGTTTTGCATCAACAGATACACTCTCATTTCGTCGAACTACTTCAACTGCTGGAAACCTTTATTTTGTCGATGACGAAGAGATTGATTTGACTAAGATTGTTAATGCTCAACTTCCTCCTATCCCTCGTGAGACGAGTTATACAGGTATTTCTCGTGGCTTTTTAACTTCGAATCCTTGAATTCGAGATTTGAGGAAATTCATCAAATTATTTGCTTTCTTTGTGTAGCTCACTGGCTTGCAGTCGAAGGTGTTCAGCCTGCTATTCCTCAAAACCCGTCTGCAGCAGGTAAATCCTCTGATCAGTCACTCTTTAGCCCTTTCCTCGGTCATTTCTTCCTATGATTGTTTTCAGGAGCTCACGAAACCATTGGCCTTTTTCTGCCTTTCTCTTCAAGAACTCAAGAATCATCCAGCCTTCCCTGCTTATCTTTCCGCTTCAAGATCAGATTCCAAGGAGGAAGATGAACATAAGAAGATGAACATCAATCAACATTTATCACGTGAACTTAGGTTATATTTCGATCGAGTCACTTCTGCTGCGTCTTCAGAAGATCAGCGTGCCAAAAATGCTGCGTTGGCTAGTTTGAGTGGCGATCCTGGTTTGCATCAACTCGTGCCTTATCTAGTTCAGTTTGTCGCAGAAAAGGTTCGTATCCCAGAGTTCTCCGTTCGAATCTCGTTATGATGCGCAAAGGCATCTCTTCCCATCCTGCATACTGACTTGAATTGTATCTCTTTTCGAATGTTTGCTGTACAAAACAAGGACAGGTCACTCATACCCTCACTTCTACATCTTCACCACAACTCAGCTCACTTCGAGATTCGATCCACATTCTCGAATCTATCCTCTCGAATTCTCACCTCTATCTAGAGCCCTATCTGCATCAAATCTTACCATCGATGCTCACATGCCTTCTTTCCTCTTCGTTTTCATCATCGCCTCCTACACTAGAAATCGAAGTTCGAAAATTGGCAGCTTCGCTTCTTTCCACTCAGGTCTCACGCTTTCAACCATTTTATCCTACTCTCAGATCAAGAATTCTCAAGACTTTGGCCAAATCACTAATCTCACCCAAGGCTACCGATGGAAATCGACTAGGAGCGGTCATTGGGATCAGGGCACTTGGGATGGAGGCTACAAGAGTTATCTTGGCTCAAAATTTGAAGGCTTTTGGAGAGTGCTTGGAGGCTGATATTGCCGAAGGTAAATTAGTAGAAGAACGTGTACAAGACTTGGTGAAGGAAACATTGGTGAGCTACAGAGCTACCTTCTGGATTAACTCCGTAGATCACTAACTTTGAGAGTTATTGTGTAGTCAACGATGGCAGGTTTTTTTAGTTCGAGTGAGATTACCGAGCGATTAAAGAAACCTAAATTGATCACTATCCCTGCTCAAGATGAATTGGAAGCAGAAGTGGGTGTATTGTTCGCAGCAAGATTGATGGCTAGTTCAGATGAAGAAGAAACCAAGCGAGCTTATAGTTTTCTTAAACAATTATCTGGAAATGGATCAGATTCAGAGCATGATGTTGAGATGATGGAAGAAGATGAACAAGCACCATCCGCACCATCCGCACCACCACCACCACCACAAGATGAACAACCCAAGATTGAGATCGATCCACCGGTGGAAACTGAGATTGAAAAAGAAAAAGTAGAAGAGAAAGTTGTAGAAAGTATGGAAGAAGAAAAACAAGAAGAAAAGGAAAAGGAAGTGAATGAAGTTGAGAAAGAAAGACAGAAGAGTGAAGGGTTTGATGATGATATGGTTTTAGGATCGGATGATCCAGTTGTACCATCTAATACTGAGACCACTACTTAAGTTAACTTCAAGATTTAATGTGTATAAATATGATGTTGAGATTTGATTTTATAATTCAAGAGATGGGTTACTGGTTCGATGTGTATGATGATGAGAATTGCCTTGGAAGCATATATATATATATATAGTGAATTCATGCACCAATGGCTAGAGAGATATCAAGTGCAGAGATACAGCATGAGATTGTTCTGCAGCTTTGAAGCACTAGATATGTATAGATCCAACTTCTTCATAGCTTCTGATGTGTTCTCGAACTCAAATAGCAGATGAAGTGAGGTATTCTATAACTCCAAATTTAAGATGGCCTGTCTCCTTCACTTGAAACATGAAGGTCTACTGATGGCATGATGCAACGGTGGCACTGCTTTGGCATTTCCTGCTCAATCCAAAAACATTCATTTTGACATGTCACGTGGTGTTTGATGGCCTTAATGAGTCTGAAAAAATGCAACCTGGCATGAGCAATCCAAGATTGAAGTACAAATAAGAAACACTAAGGCCATTGGTGTAGACTAGCGGCGTGAAAGGCGATGCATGCTCATCAAACTCATCATTAGATTCTTTTTGATCACTGATCAGTTTGATTTATATAAGACTGATTCATGATGATGGTTCTTATCAGACAAAAGATCTTTCCACACCTAAATCTCTTTACAACTTGTCTGTATCCGATCATCACCTTGGTACGGTTCCCACTCTACTCCACACCGTAAGCACCTTTTTGAAATTGCCGCTTGGGGTTGATGGTTCGCTGCCTGGAATCGATTTTAGAGAAAGAAAACATGTAAATCATGAGGGGAGAATGTTATGCGGGTTATCCAAACTCTGATCACCAAATGAAGATAATCAGCTATGAAAACTTGGACCCTCATCTCAGTACGCTTCCCTTTGGCGCACACATGACCTAGAATCTACTTGCCAACGGGGCAGTTCAGCGTTATTGCAGTTCCAATTGCCAAAGAGAGGCAAGAAAGCACGAGAAAGAAACTGGATGATCTTATCATGAAAGCGAGAGATGTTAACATGATAGACTCTCTGATAGTCAGGTGTAAGGGTATATTAAGCTTGGAAGTGATATGTGATTGGACAGATTGAATTTTTTTGCCCAACAGGTCAAGGATAGGTTGAATTTATATCATGTTTGAGAGATAGAGTATCACGTAAATTTGCACACTCGCAAATGACGAGATCATGGATGTTCAAATTCCACACTTTGACCCACACACAACATTGCACCGGTGAACCCGCTGCCATCCACTCAATTGCTTTTGCACCTCTTTTGGGTTCTGAGTGTCAATGATTTGATATCCGAGAAATGATCCTGAAACATGCATCACAGGCAACTTGGAAAGTTGGACCATAAACTTAACAAAGTGCCCCACTTGTTCTAATCACTGATTATAACTTATATTAGGCATATTCCAGATTGCATTCTTACAAGTTGTTCAGCCAATGGATTACATAAAGAATCGATCCCTATGTTTGCCACACACAAAGCACTTCTAAATCATATCAAGATTATGTTGTTCTCGACGATAAAAAATTATTTCAGGATATCTCCAGAAAACTGCACACAATCATTCCGCACACGCCCAACATGCCATCATACTCAGTTCCCCACATGGTGTATCTTGATCCTGGGACTTCTTTTCCAACGTTTTACCGTTCCAAATTCGAGGTTTTCAATATTGTTACACTTTCCACTCTTGGCTGCTTACCGCGGCGTGGTTCATTCAAACCCCACAGTCCGGATACTGGCGGAGAGTTTCTTGTTGACTTGCCGGATTTGTTGGGCTCGTTGGAGGTGACCAATCACTGAGAATTACTATTGGACTGATCAGGAGAAGACGGCGAAAATAAGTGAGTTAGAACAATGGACATAAAAGCTGATATTAATTTCGCTTGACTCAACACTCACTGCAGAGAATATATTGATAAGGTAGTGTCCACTGATGTTGTCTGGTTCTGAACGTCGGTGACTCTGCATGAGGTCGGTGAGGTGGATCAAAGTGATGGTATAAAATAGCAACTGGAATTATCAGTAAAATTAGATGACAGCATAATATAACGAAGAAATAGTCTTGAAGAACTTGGTCTCACGTGATGCAAGGATAGGCTTCTTTGATTACTGCCTCGAGCATGTTGGTATCTTTTCTCGTTCTTCTGTTCCATGAAAAATCGTCCAGCTGAAAGTCGGGTATCTCCCTAAAAACGAACAAAAAATCAGATCAGAATATTGTATAACACTGTAGAATCGGTTCGTTGCATTCAGAGATCTCAAGATAAAAGGCTTCAGACGAAACCTACTTGCTAGTGTGCGCAGTCTCTGGCTTCTGGGCTGCATCTTTCTTATCCTTTTCTGCACAGTGCTGAAGACTACGTTGGATTAGATCAAACGAAAATCCCGAAGATCTCATCGTGGTGGGAGCGTCTATTTGCTTAGTTCTACGCGATCGAACACGCCGCAGTATGAACAGACAAGCCCGAGAGGCACTAATGAGTATGAGTATGAGAACAATAGCTCCAGCGGCCAATAGGAGTGCAGAAACCGATTGTGAACTGTGGCGCCAAAACATAGTTATACTTTCGAGCGACCTTCGATTCAGCGGTGGACTTTTTGTAAGAAGCAGAAGCCATCTTCGATTTGGATTAGCAGGCGAAGTGGTATACATCACTTGTTAGAATTAGCGAGTGTAGAAATCGGTGATGAGCTTCAAGAAGGTGGAGCAATGAAGTTGAATTGACGAGCAGCATGGCTGGTTGCGGTCATTTATATATGGTAGTCCTCTTCTATAATAAGTGACCAGATGGGGTAGTCGCTCGCTCCGCGCAGCTGTTTATGTGTACGGAAATATCTCTAGACAGTTGCTATCGTTGCTCAAGGTTCAATTTTCATTTCAAGAATGATCCTGCTGCGCAAAATGAAAGATATCAAAGCCTTTGAAGGTTTAGTTTTAAAGTAATCGTTAAAGTGCGGCCTCAGCTCATAGAACGCGCCATGATTCCATCGCAAAAGTAAGCTTTCATGTCAGCTTTGAGCTTCACTCTTCACCGCAAGTCGCTCGCCGCATTCAAGTAGACCACTTTTTTGCTCATTTATGGGCCAAAACGAGCGAAAAACTGGCCTACTTGGCCTGCCCTATTGCCGATTGTCGCCGCAAAAGTATATCAAATGGGTATGATTTCACACGACCGGTGATACAATGATCGACTTGGGTAACATTTCGACGCAAAAGTTATCTTGCCTTCTTGGAACTACATGTGAATCATTGCAAATGAGGCCCGGAAACTTGAATTTGGAGATGTTACGTTGGTCGACGGCCCAAGGGTCGAACGAGACAAAATTAAGGCAGACAGCCTGCGCGGCGGCGGGCTCATGTAGCTTTGATGTAGCGTCCAAAGAGTTTGAAGAGAGTGAGGCCCAAGTCCACGGATACCCTCAAGTCACCTTTGATGCAGATGGTAGGCGGGAAGGATCCATATGAGCCCTTGAGGCGGTGGATAACAGAGTAGTCCCAGGTGTCGCGTACCACGTCGTTGTCGTTGTTTGCAAGTGCCGGGACTTGCGAGCCAAGGGACTTGTACGGAAGCCGTGACAGGAGAGTCTGTGATATGTACGGTCTTCAGTCCAATAGTCTATCGAAATTTGATGGTGGCTCGTCGAGGGCTTTCCAATCGATTCCTTCTTTGCCATGTTCCTGCCCGTGACCCACTCAGTCCTCACTGGTCATCTCATCAGCAAGATCAAGCTTCGTCAGGAAAGAGTCACTTGCAACGATACTACGAGCTCATCTACTGTCTGGACGAAATTGATAATTACCCACTATTACGCGGCAAGAGTACATCAGAGGAGCATCAAGTCATAATCGATCGCGAACTGTTCTAGCAAACGTACATTCCAGCTAGCATCACCTCTCTGTATGATCGCAACCTGAGCCGAATCATCACACCCAGCATGCATCCGAAAAACCCCTATTGCGCAGCTCCACCAGATTTTGCCGCTTTAGCTTATTCGTATCCGGGTTTGAAACCATTGTTTGTCGCTCGTCCTTACATTGTTGCACGAGACACCCTCTCGATGACAAAGCGAGATGCGAGTAGACCGGTCTTGATGCTGACAACATGCGTCTTTTCTCGACTGCCTCAGCCTCATTGATCGTTCTGATGGGACAGCCAGAGTTCTCATAGACTTCAAAAATCCAGAGGCTATCAGGTCAGTATCCTCATCAAAAGCTGTGGCGTGCGGCTTCGAGTATTTCTGTTGCGTAGTTTCTCTAACATCTGTCTATAAATCTCACAGGCAACTTTCCATAGCTCTATTGAAGCGAGATTTCGACCTCGATATTTCGCTTCCGCCAGACCGACTCTGTCCCATGGTAAATAATTTTTAAGTCTGACATCAGAGATCATATTGTTCGATAACTGAGACTTACTCAAAATCACGACAGGTGCCGGGAAGACTGGACTATTGTCTTTGGATAATTGACCTTTTGGATTTACAGGATCTGGAAATTACAAACGGTGAAGACCTCATCGGAGTCGATATGTATGTTTTCCCAGCCGGTTATCGCACTATTTTGAAAATCGTCTTGACTCGCACATTGCATACATGCTTGATTTGAGACTTCAGAGGCACTGGAGCATCAGCTATCTATCCATTGTTATTCTCAAGATTGCTATCTTGTGTTAAAATGATGGCCACTGGTGCGTAGTTCTCAATCACTCGACACCCCTGTTCTTGTAACTGATGCGGCGTATGAAGAGATTGATCAGAAGTCTTACGAATCTGCCCAAACCAATATCTCTAACAATGATCTGGCAAAGCAGATCGATCTAATACGTTATACCGTGAAGCAGTCTTCAATCTTCCCCACTGCACACATTCTTGCATCCCCATGTCGCCTTGCTTTTACGATGTGCAATCCCCCCTTCTATTCTTCCAGAGAGGAGATGGACGAACTGAGTTTAAAGAAAGACGCCGGACCGCTAGCGACCTGTACTGGTAGTGACACTGAAATGATCACATCAGGTGGTGAGGTAAGTTTTATCAACCAATTGATCAGAGACAGTCTAGCGCTAAAAGATCATGTAAGGTAGGTGACGATTTTTGAAGTTGCATCTGGCAACCTTTTTTTTACTGACCGGATGTATGCGTATTTTGAACGCCAGGTGGTTCACTTCTTTGTGCGGTAAATTCTCAACGCTCACCGAAGTCGTCAAAACCTTCAAGACCCTCCAAGTTCGTATCGATCATCTCAAGGCATTTGATGGATGATGATGTCGCTTATATAATCCGGCTCACAGGGTAACAATTATGCTCTGGGTGAATTGCTGCAAGGTCAAACAAGAAGATGGGTGATTGGATGGTCATGGCAGGATTGGAGGGTGCGAGACGTGAGGAGAATTTTACATAGCCATTTTTTGTAAAGAGCTCTGAGCTAAATAGACCTACTAACTATTTTTTCCTGATTTCTTAGGCGCTATGCAAGCCGTCTACTGTTGAAAGCTTTCGCTCCACCAAGAACCTACTACCCTTACCAAATGAGATAGACTATCACTTACCAAGCCTAGTGATGTCGGTCTCCTTGAAAGACTTGACAACACGTATCACCCAAATACTCGCATCACTCCCGGACCTATCGTGGCAAATGTGCCCACTGCAGAATGGTGATGGTGAACACGTATCTTGGGAGGTGACGGCCTTTCGCAAATCGTGGTCGCGCGCTGAGCGTCGAAAGCGCAAGCCATGCACTCAACCCACGGGGGAAAGACTACCAGCCAAGAACGCGTCAAGTGAAGGGTCGACTGACAGGGTGCGCGCGGAACCATGTCTTACCGAGAGCAGCAGCAATGGGCACCCAACACCAATCATGAAAGTATCCTTGACGCTCTCTTGTACGCCCTCAATCGAGGAACATGAGAAACAGCCAAAAGATTGCTCATCGAAAGAAGCGACGAGCAGCCAAACAGACAAAGCTACTTTCCAACTGGCACCAAGCTCTGATGTGGTATACAAACTAGATATTCGATGGCTACGGGGATACGAGCGGGATATTTTTGAAAGTTTCTGGAATCATTTGATCAAGAAAGTGATACAATGTGATGAAAAATGTACTTAACGACATGGATTTTTATGCCGGTGACTATGAAACTAGATATCGATGGAACGCACACCCCTCTTTCAAACTTTCACGCATATGAACTCTTCTTAGGGATGCACGTGTAGGGGAAATATCAGATTTTGATTAATAATTATAATAGTCTCGGTATGATGGTCCGAGTTTTGTATATCAGTCTTTACAGTGAGTATGCCATGACCAGTTCTTTATCAAAATACTTGCTTTTTTGAATGTGTGATGTATGCAGGCAGATAAAGCCCAGGATATGACTGGTATGATGACGATTTTATAACATTTCACATACCAACGCAAACTCAACAAAATCCCACGCTGTGTCTCGCACTTTTGTGTTCCGAAAGCTTTTGAGAGCCAGGACTAGTTTCTGCTTAGAGCTTAGATATAAGCTCTAGATGAAAATAAAATGTACATGAGCACAGTGTAAGAGCATCAAACAGGTTGAAATTTTAAATTCAAAGGTGATATATATGCTAAACTGAATATGTTCACTACAACAAATGTGGTATTAGTGGTAAAATTGGAATCTGAGTTTAAGCTCGAGTTCGAAGTACACATCAAGGTGAATGATATTATAGAAAACAAACAATGCCAAGAATTGTATCACAATGTCGTCAATGTACATGAGCACAGGATAGGATCATCAAACAGGTAAAAAGTACAAATCCAAAGGTGATCTATATGCTAAAATGAATATGTCCACTACAACAAATGTGGTATTAAAAGTAAAATTGGAATCTGAGTTGAAGCTCGAGTTCGAAGTACACATCAAAGTGATTCATAAGTGAATGTAGATAGAAGGCAAAAAGTGACAAGAAGTTCGAAGTACACATCAAAGTGAATGATAGCTAAATATAGACAGAAAACAAAAAGTATCAAGAAGTGTATCGGAATGTCGTCATAGGCATCCAGATTCATGCGCAACAAGAGTGTGTTCCAAAGAGGAATCAAGTTGATTCGCCAATGCCGAGAATGAAGATTCCAGTGAAGTGCCGCTCTGTTCTGGGGTAATTGATTGCCGTGTATTAGTAGCGATGCCTGCAACAATTGGCACGTGCATTGCCACTGTTTGCAATTGACTTCCAGATAGACAGGCGCTCATGGTAAGACCTCTGTTGCGGCCAAAAAGATAATCGAGATAACGCTGTGCTTGAGGCTCCATGGCTGGATCGGTTTCATAGTGAGCGCATTTCTCTTTCGGCTGTTCTTCGTCCGTCGCATATTTCATAGGAGTCGACGCCCCCCCCATAATCATATTCCAAGCACTGTAGGAGGTCAATAAAGATCAGCTGATAGAATACGTCAAGAGTCTAGTAGGAGGAGCTCACGAAGCTCGGATGGTACGTCTCTGATCAGAATGTGTAGTTTTGGTAGAATCGTATCTTCTTTGGAAATCTTCCTCTATTTCTCTCAAAGAACAATCGGGTGGTGAGTAATTGATCACCCATGAAGTCGTGTGATGCGAAGACGGAACCGACGAGGTGGAATCTTCTGATCTTCGTCTAGTAAACTTGGGCCGCGTGATACTGATAGAATCCTTGGAAACTCCAAGGAACATTGAAGCTCGATTGTGTTTAGGCTGACTTCCAGAAAAAATAACTTGCGTGCCCATCTCCAACTTTCTGAAGACTTTCTTGTCTAGATTATTTTTTCTGTCGCGTTTGCGGTACCAGCGCAAGGCCACGATGCTAAGGCTTGTGAAGCTGATGACGAAGATTAAGAGGATTCCAATAATCAACCCCACGATTGGTCCAGGAGTTTTTGTTGTCATTGTAAGATTGAGTGAAGGAAGGTTGCGATGATCTAACGAGAGTCGAAATTGTTTGCTATGTTTGACGTCAAATGTAAACTCGCGCGGCTTGGCTTGGTGTGTTTATTGCTTCAACCTCCAGAGGAAAGACAGTAAAAATGTGTAAAGGCCGTTGGATTCAATTGATTTAGGTGAACATCAAAAGGATTAGGGATAAGTAGGGTAGAGTTCCAGCGAACGAAAAGCTTGGGAAGAAGTTTAATAACGACCAGCTTGACGAATTATATGCTCCAGTAGTCTCGCAGTAGATAAGCGTGATGATTACCCCTTCTCGATTGAGCCTATCAACACAATTTGAATACCCTATCCAACGAGCTTTCGATTTGACACTTCTTGAAGCCTTCGCGCGGAACTTGTCGCAGCCAAATTTACATTCAATCAAGCTCACTTCGCGCCGTGACTCCCATGGTCCATTCCTTGGTGAACTGAAATAAGGCGCTGGGCAGCGATTTTCGTACCAAAACAGTCTCATTCCCCGTCTATGTAAGCCAACTAATCCCCTCTTAGCGCGTTTTAAGCTTAATCCCCGTCCCAAAAGGAGGTCAAAACAAAGTATACTTTTGGATAAGCTCAAAAAGGGAGATCATCTCTCGATAATCTCTATTTTGGACTTGTTGAAAATGCCCAATTCGCCTTCTTTGACGTCATGACTATGAAAAGCAAATTTTTGCACCTTGTCCACGTCATCCTCACCTTGAATCAATTTGAACAAAGTATCAAAAACCATGACCGCTGGCTTTTTTCCTCGCCATTTCTGTTTTCTCTAGCATCTTTCATTGCATTTTTTCATCAGAGATTAATCACAATGACTCGAGCTCAGAAGGAAGCGAGCAGACCAAAGACTGATAAAGCTAACTGGACCCATTACAAATCCTCTTCATCGGATGATGGCCAGGGTGATTGTATGCTCAGGCATCACGGATGCAGATTTTGGTGGAATTCTTTTGAGTATGACAATGCTTCACCATCACCGGAGTAGTAACCTAGTAAGGAAACCACAAGTTGAACCAATTTATGATGAATTGGGATAAAATATAATTGAAGAAGGAATGAGATGAAACATGGATGAAGTAAAGAAAACAAGCTTTCTGATGCCCATGGTGTAAGAGTTAAACTTGGTAATTCTCAAAAAATGGGACAAGTGCTTCCTTGATTGCTGGTGATATTGACATGGAGGCCACCAGTATGTATGGGAGTCTGGCAAGCAATCAAGTTGGTGTTGTAAAGCCCAAGGCTCACAGGTGCTTGCTGGTTTGGTTGAGGATTGAACCATTGAGCAAACATCAAGATTACTAATTGTTTAAGATGATGAATTACCCAAAGCCTGCAACAGTAACTCTATAGTCCATGGCAAGGGGTAGTCAAGTAGTCAGTTAGGAGAGAGAATGCCGGGCTGATCTTTGGGGCCAGAAGGGTAGCAAAGATTGGTCGCAATTGCAACCAAAGTGCAAAAAATATCCTCCTTCCAAATTCAGAGAAAGATCTTTCCCATCACTTCTCATTCCTCAGCAGTCATTTTCTCTCAACTTACTTCACAAATTCTTTCCCCATTTTCTCTCCTAATTGTGCAGCTGATAGTAGTAGAAAATAGCTTTGTCACCCACCCTGTCAGCCAGGGCATAAGTACAGACGTACCTATCTCCTGGCTAACATAACTAAGTTACACAAACAAGTACTTTTTCTATGTGTTACACACATTTCTATTATCTTAACAATATATTCTTAAGTAGTCTTTTTTTCCAAATGATAATCTTCTTTCTTCTTTTCATTTACATTTCTCTAAATTTCCTTTTCTCAATAAACATTACTAAAAGGTCAAATTATGATATAAAGTTTGTACTCGAGTTAGTAATGTTAGAATCTCATGAGGACAAGAGAAATCCCAGTTTAGACAGAAGGTTGAAGTGATGACCCAACCTAATGTTGAAACCTCAAAACCATAACGGATTGAGCGCCTGGGAAACGCTCATCCAAAGGTCTGGGACTATCCAATCCAAGTGAAGGACTAATAGAACTACATTCGTTACACTGCAAATATAATGTGTTTCTCCGAGGTGAAAATTGATTGAACTTAATGCACAAAATGATTAATAATGCAGATTTAATGCAGAAAAGTGTAGATTTAATGTAGATTTAATGCACTTTTAATCATTTTTTGAATTAAATGTAATCATTTTTCACCACAGAGAAACACATTATATTTGCAGTGTTATAAAGCTTGTGTGCGCGGAATAAACTTATAGGATTGGGAATTATCTGTTAACTCTGTGCGCTAGGAATTCTGCTCTATTATGAAATCATACGTTGAAGGTCTTTTTTGTAATGTGTGATGCTGTTCAATTAAGGGTATATAAACCCTCTTGTTTTCTGTTTTTTGTTCTATTCTTTCTTCATCTTATAATCAATCATTGTCCTTATCATTCAAATCAGTTTCTAAACTACACAGCGTCCCAATCAACAAACCTTTGCTCTTTAAATCCAATCTTTAAATCCCTTAGGTTAGTATTGCTCCGCTTCAATTAGAATTACTGGATATCTTTGTCTTTTTACGAGTCTATTCAATACATATCAGTGTTGACTCGTAGTTCAATAAGCACGCTTATTGACACACCCTCCATCCCAAGGGAAGAGAAGCCCTCCTCAGGTTCTTTGTTCTCACCCCGGAGGGGCAGACCAGATCTGAACATAGACATCTATCACCAGGGCCTACCCCCACACCACCATTAGTAGATTTAAGTGTATTATTAGTGGTTACAAAGAACTCAAGGAAGATGACTCCTTTTTTTGGTAACCATATCAAGTTGTATAACATAACACACTTGATGTTTGTACAACCTAGGTTTACACTCCCTCTCATACTTCACAACCTGAGAGCAACGCTCGGACCTCATCGTAATCCACCGTAACGTTATGGATAATCCATAACGTTACGGTGGACCGTATTCAGGACCAACCGTGTCTTAGCGTTATGAGATGGGACCGTAGCCAAAAATTGGTCATGGTACGGTGGGACCGTAACGTAACGTATCGAGATAGCCATCTGGAGCTCAGATTTTGGTCATCACGGTACTTAGATATGAAAAACAGATGATACAGATAATTGAGAGTAAATTGTTAAGAAGAGACAGGAAAAATAAAGAAAAGATGCATAATAAAGTACATACAAAGCTGAAAGGAATTGTGAATTGTAAAAGATCAGGACCATAGCCATAGCAGAACCGAGGAGGATCATAAAGACCAGCTGAGCAAGTTTGTTGATGCAGATGACGGTAGGAGCGCAATAGGTGTTGTTGACGGACTGGTGACATATCATACTTGCTTCCAATAAGAGTTTCTAATCATTATGAAAGTTCGGTTCCAGAGCTTGTAGCTTTTCTGACATGGTCAATTCCAATCTTTCACTCGGAATTGCCCTTGTGTTGTGTTGAGCTTGTACTTGACTTGATGTGGGACTCGGTTTAGATTTAAAGCGCCTCCGAATTGACTCTTTTGGTGACCTCATCTCAATGGATGAAGTTTCTGTGGTATCAAGACTCCAGTCTGCATCCGCCGTAGCATATCCAGAACCGAAATCATGACCATTGACACTTGAATCAGAACGCGCGATTGGTCTTGATTGAGTTGCAAGCATAGGCCACAATGCAACTTGGATCAGAGGGTTCAACAGTTTCCATCCCTGAACTCCCTCTGCTCCAATCTTGTGGAAACATTTCATTTGATCGAGAACCTTGTCTGGATGATAAGTTTCAATTTCATCAGTCGCATCACGTCATACAAAATGCAAAATTGCTAAGTCGCCACCAGGGTGCTTTTTGAGCCTTGAGTTCAGCTTATAGACATAAGATTTATGAAGCACACTAAAACTACCAATCAGGATACATAGGACCTTTGAACAGTTTGTGTTTGAATCTTGAGCTTTTAATTGAAAAACAGCATTTCTAACAGGTGATGAATTATGATTCACACTTTGTTCAAGTGTAGCTAACCAACCCACTAATGCTCTATAGTCTTCTTAACAAACGTAATTGAGGCTTGCAAAGTGATCCGACTGATTTACCAAGTAAATTATTAACCTTTCAGTTGGGAGATATCTATACAGTAGTCAACCATAGTGACTACGGGTTTTGTCGCGGCCATCGTAACGTGATGTGCCCGCGATCGTAATCCAGACCGTAACCAGATTTCCCTACCAGGCGTTTTGATACGGATACACCGTAGTGCTGAACGGCCAGTCGCGATACGGTGAGGGCCGTACCGTACCGTACCGCTGACCGTAGCCATCACGCTGAGGTCCGAGCGTTGCTGAGAGTAGTAG